AAATGACGCTTATCAGAGGTTATCGTGAGATGAGAAACCTCCTTTTTTTTGCGAAGCCACGTTCGTGACTCAGACGGCGAGGGGCCCTCTGGGACGCGGTATTAAAAGAAGTTGACGAAACCGTATCACAGCTGGTCTTCGCATTCTTCAAAAGGCTCAAGATAGTGTAAGCGGAAGACAGAGATGGCCTTTAACATTTTTAAGGCTCTTTAACAGTCCGAAGGTTTTCAAGGGTCGCCTAGAAAACCTTTTAGGATCTTTGAAAGTCCTTAGGTGGCATTCGAGCAAAGCCATTTTGAGATTTTTGACTTTCAAGTTAAAATTTAAAGCTCCTAATAGTCTCTTCCAAGCTTGAAAATTACAGTTTCGTTTCAGAATCACCCTTGAAACATTTATTTGTTAAAAATCGTCGCGAAATCGCCCCTTGAAACTTTTTAGGGGCATTCGAACCGAGAGATTTTGAGATTTTTTTCTTGCAAGTTAAAATTTAAAGCTACGAGTGTCTTCCGAAACTTGAAGTCTGCAGTTTCGTATCAGAATCGCACTTGAAACATTTATTTGTTAGAATCCATCGCGAAATCGCCCCTAAACATTTCTTTAGGGGCATTCGAGCCAAGATATTTTGAGATTTTTAACTTTCAAGTTTAAATATCAAGATCCGAGTGTCTTCCAAGCTTGAAGTATGCAATTTAGTTTCAGAATCGCACTTGAAACATTTATTTGTTAGAATCCATCGCGAAATCGCCCCTAAACATTTTTTAGGAGCATTCGAGCCAAGATATTTTGAGATTTTTAACTTTCAAGTTTAAATATAAAGCTGCGAATGTCTTCCAAGCTTGAAAGTTGCAATTTAGTTTCAGAATCGCACTTGAAACATTTATTTGTTAGAATCCATCGCGAAATCGCCCCTAAACATTTTTTAGGAGCATTCGAGCCAAGATATTTTGAGATTTTTAACTTTCAAGTTTAAATATAAAGCTGCGAATGTCTTCCAAGTTTGAAAGTTGCAATTTAGTTTCAGAATCGCACTTGAAACATTTATTTGTTAGAATCCATCGCGAAATCGCCCCTAAACATTTTTTAGGAGCATTCGAGCCAAGATATTTTGAGATTTTTAACTTTCAAGTTTAAATATAAAGCTGCGAATGTCTTCCAAGCTTGAAAGTTGCAATTTAGTTTCAGAATCGCACTTGAAACATTTATTTGTTAGAATCCATCGCGAAATCGCCCCTAAACATTTTTTAGGAGCATTCGAGCCAAGATATTTTGAGATTTTTAACTTTCAAGTTTAAATATAAAGCTGCGAATGTCTTCCAAGCTTGAAAGTTGCAATTTAGTTTCAGAATCGCACTTGAAACATTTATTTGTTAGAATCCATCGCGAAATCGCCCCTAAACATTTTTTAGGAGCATTCGAGCCAAGATATTTTGAGATTTTTAACTTTCAAGTTTAAATATAAAGCTGCGAATGTCTTCCAAGCTTGAAAGTTGCAATTTAGTTTCAGAATCGCACTTGAAACATTTATTTGTTAGAATCCATCGCGAAATCGCCCCTAAACATTTTTTAGGAGCATTCGAGCCAAGATATTTTGAGATTTTTAACTTTCAAGTTTAAATATAAAGCTGCGAATGTCTTCCAAGTTTGAAAGTTGCAATTTAGTTTCAGAATCGCACTTGAAACATTTATTTGTTAGAATCCATCGCGAAATCGCCCCTAAACATTTTTAGGAGCATTCGAGCCAAGATATTTTGAGATTTTTAACTTTCAAGTTTAAATATAAAGCTGCGAATGTCTTCCAAGTTTGAAAGTTGCAATTTAGTTTCAGAATCGCACTTGAAACATTTATTTGTTAGAATCCATCGCGAAATCGCCCCTAAACAATTTTTAGGAGCATTCGAGCCAAGATATTTTGAGATTTTTAACTTTCAAGTTTAAATATAAAGCTGCGAATGTCTTCCAAGTTTGAAAGTTGCAATTTAGTTTCAGAATCGCACTTGAAACATTTATTTGTTAGAATCCATCGCGAAATCGCCCCTAAACATTTTTTAGGAGCATTCGAGCCAAGATATTTTGAGATTTTTAACTTTCAAGTTTAAATATAAAGCTGCGAATGTCTTCCAAGTTTGAAAGTTGCAATTTAGTTTCAGAATCGCACTTGAAACATTTATTTGTTAGAATCCATCTTGAAATCGCCCCTAAACATTTTTTAGGAGCATTCGAGCCAAGATATTTTGAGATTTTTAACTTTCAAGTTTAAATATAAAGCTGCGAATGTCTTCCAAGCTTGAAAGTTGCAATTTAGTTTCAGAATCGCACTTGAAACATTTATTTGTTAGAATCCATCGCGAAATCGCCCCTAAACAATTTTTAGGAGCATTCGAGCCAAGATATTTTGAGATTTTTAACTTTCAAGTTTAAATATAAAGCTGCGAATGTCTTCCAAGCTTGAAAGTTGCAATTTAGTTTCAGAATCGCTCTTGAAACATTTATTTGTTAGAATCCATCGCGAAATCGCCCCTAAACATTTTTTTAGGAGCATTCGAGCCAAGATATTTTGAGATTTTTAACTTTCAAGTTTAAATATAAAGCTGCGAATGTCTTCCAAGCTTGAAAGTTGCAATTTAGTTTCAGAATCGCACTTGAAACATTTATTTGTTAGAATCCATCTTGAAATCGCCCCTAAACATTTTTTAGGAGCATTCGAGCCAAGATATTTTGAGATTTTTAACTTTCAAGTTTAAATATAAAGCTGCGAATGTCTTCCAAGCTTGAAAGTTGCAATTTAGTTTCAAAATCGCACTTGAAACATTTATTTGTTAAAAATATACAAGAAATCGCCACTTAGAATTTTTTTCGCATCCGAACCAAAAGATTTTGGGCTGTCTAGTTAAAATTGAAAGCTGTAATTTCATATCCCCAGCTACATCTCAAATAAAGTTGTTTGGTTAACGCTATACAGATAATGACAGAAAATCGAAATCCAATAGGAAGCTGTACAGTGGCGTCCGTCTGATTAAAACTCCAATCTCGTGACTTTTATGGCGCTGGGAAGAGGGAATGCGAAAAGAACGCGACAATGAGGTTAAGGGTTGAACTTCGTTTAAGTGAAATTAAATTTATACGCGTCGAGGGTCATCGTCCTGACGCCCGGGAATTTAATTTGCGAAATTTGAACGCGCCACTGTGAGAAACGGCGACCTTTATGAGGTTAAAAGGGTGTGACATCAGTAACTAAATTATATCATTGGAATTTTTTATGGATGCAAATTATCATTATTTAATAGGTCGCCGTGTCACGAAAATGAAAATTGAGGGGCCCTTCCCTCGCATCCAGCCTTGAACTCGGCGGAACGAAAATAGACGCAGACAGACTTTGTGTTTGAATAATTAGTGCAATTAATTTTTTTTTTTGGTTAATTGATTAGCCCTCGATTAGATCAGTTGATATACTTTTACGTAATCACGAAGGAGGCGCCAGAAACTGTTTGAGCGTGGCCCATTTTAAAAAAAGGTAAACGCGATCAGATGATCATCGGGGCCCCTAAGACCTGTTTTTATTCAAATGGGCGCCCACACTTGGAATTCTTTACTCGTGCCGCGGACGAACTTTATCAATGCATGTACATGAATTAAACAATTCGAATTCCAGACCAAATAATTGCCATACTTGGACTGGATTTAAAACGCATCCATTACTATCGTCTTCAAGAGCGAAGAAAGGGGCGCGAATTGCATTTCAAAAATGTCTTCGCTCATCTTTGACTACGAAGATCAACTGAGGCACTACTGCACATCTTAGAGCTTGCCAACAGAATCTTGACAGCCAAAAATCTTAAAATCTCTTGGCTCAAATGCCCCTAAATACATTTCAAGGGGCGATTTCTCCATGATTTTTGGCAAATAAACGTTTTAAGTGCAATTCTGAAACGAAATTGCAGAATTCACGCTTGGAAGACATTCGCAGCTTTATATTTAAACTTGAAAGTCAAAAATCTCAAAAACTGTTGGTTCGAAGGCCCCTAGAAAAATGTTTAGGGGCGACTTCGCGATGATTTCTAACAAATAAATATTTCAAGTGCGATTCTGAAACTAAATTGCATACTTCAAGCTTGGAAGATACGCGGATCTTAATATTTTAACTTGAAAGTTAAAAATTCCACAATTTCTTGACTCGAATGCCCCTAAAAAAATGTTTAGGGGCGACTTCGCGATGATTTCTAACAAATAAATGTTTCAAGTGCGATTCTGAAACTAAATTGCATACTTCAAGCTTGGAAAACACTCTGATCTTAATAGGTATTTTAACTTGAAAGTTAAAAATCCCACAATTTCTTGCCTCGAATGCCCCTAAAAAAATGTTTAGGGGCGACTTCGCGATGATTTCTAACAAATAAATATTTCAAGGGCGATTCTGAAACTAAATTGCATACTTCAAGCTTGGAAGACATTCGCAGCTTTATATTTAAACTTGAAAGTTAAAAATCTCAAATTCTCTTGGCTCGAAGGCCCCTAAAAAAATGTTTAGGGGCGACTTCGCGATGGTTTCTAACAATGAAATGTTTCAAGTGCGATTCTGAAACGAAATTGCAGATTTTAAGTTTGGAAGACACTCGCCAGCTTTAAATTTAACTTGAAATTTACAAATCTGACGATCTGCTTGATACAGACAGACATTTATATAGAATGTAGCAGTTTCGTGTAATCAATAACTTTTAAGCTTTATCGTTGGGGGTTTCACTTTCATTTGGTGGATTCACCCTCGGCGTCTGAAGGGCGAGAAACGAGATAAATCACCTTTACGATGTTTTTAGTCGTCATCTTCAACCATTAAAAGTATAAATGTAAGTACCTAAGCGCCTTACGTAATTTAAATTCGCGATTGGCGGCTGGCCAACTTACTTGCGCCCCGCCATTTTTAAACGCGATCGCGTTTTATGCTGTGCACGTGCAAATTGCGGCTCGAAGGACCATCTAATTAATTTCGTTCTGCTTTGTTTCAGGCCGAAGACGACTGCTGGAGACGATCAATCACAAATCGCCCCCGCCTTGGACACTCTTAGTCTTATTAGTATCTACGTTGTTAAGCATAGCGGGTAAGTCTCCGTGAGATTCGATCTGACCGCAAGACTCCATCTTGGGCTAGTAAAACTCGCGAGCGGTCGCTGAAATCGCGTCCGCGCGGCTTTATTCGAATTGTGTACGGTAAATTTTTCTAAGGATTCGTGGGGCATTGTGTTTCTCTGCCAACGACACGTACGAAGGGGGTGATTGAACAATTCTATGGCTATTAAATCGGGCCGAGTTTGTTTGTTATTGCGTAACCCTCGACTGCTACCACTTAAAGAGCTGAAGGTTTTTTTTTGTTCCGTAGAACTCACTTTTATTGTGCTAATTCCGCCTGCGACTTTCTGAGAGTATCTGTATTTTTCCGCTTACACCGGATGCGTAATAAGTATTAAGAAGTCAAGGTTAGTTTTGAATTTAAATATTAAAGATTAGACATTGGAAGATTTTTTTGGAAATTTACTTATTAAAGGACTTAGGTATGGTTTTAGATCCCAAAACAGTAGGTATCCAAAAATGTAATGTTTTTGACTTTTTTAATGGGAAAACAGATTTTTTTGGTTATTTTTGGATTGAAAAATTGAAGATTAGATCTCGAATTGTTTGGAAAATTCCATATTAAAGGACTGAGGTACCGTTTTGGATCACAAAGGGGCAGATATTCAAAAATCTAATACTTTTGACTCTTTTAATTTGGAAAACTGAATGTTTTGAGTATTTTTGAATTGAAAAATTGAAGATTAGATCTCGAATTGTTTGGAAAATTCCATATTAAAGGACTGAGGTACCGTTTTGGATCACAAGGGGGCAGATATTCAAAAATCTAATACTTTTGACTTTTTTATTTGGAAAAATGAATGTTTTGGGTATTTTTGAATTGAAAAATTGAAGATTAGATCTCGAATTGTTTGGAAAATTCCATATTAAAGGACTTAGGTACAGTTTTGGATCACAAAGGGGCAGATATTCAAAAATCTAATACTTTTGACTCTTTTAATTTGGAAAACTGAATGTTTTTTGTATTTTTGAATTGAAAAATTGAAGATTAGATCTCGAATTGTTTGGAAAATTCCATACTAAAGGACTTAGGTACCGTTTTGGATCACAAAGGGGCAGATATTCAAAAATCTAATACTTTTGACTCTTTTAATTTGGAAAAGTGAATGTTTTGGGTATTTTTGAATTGAAAAATTGAAGATTAGATCTCGAATTGTTTGGAAAATTCCATATTAAAGGACTTAGGTACAGTTTTGGATCCCAAAGGGGCAGATATTCAAAAATCTAATACTTTTGACTCTTTTAATTTGGAAAACTGAATGTTTTGAGTATTTTTGAATTGAAAAATTGAAGATTAGATCTCGAATTGTTTGGAAAATTCCATATTAAAGGACTGAGGTACCGTTTTGGATCACAAAGGGGCAGATATTCAAAAATCTAATACTTTTGACTTTTTTATTTGGAAAAATGAATGTTTGGGTATTTTTGAATTGAAAAATTGAAGATTAGATCTCGAATTGTTTGGAAAATTCCATATTAAAGGACTTAGGTACCGTTTTGGATCACAAAGGGGCAGATATTCAAAAATCTAATACTTTTGACTCTTTTAATTTGGAAAACTGAATGTTTTGGGTATTTTTGAATTGAAAAATTGAAGATTAGATCTCGAATTGTTTGGAAAATTCCATATTAAAGGACTTAGGTACCGTTTTGGATCACAAAGGGGCAGATATTCAAAAATCTAATACTTTTGACTCTTTTAATTTGGAAAACTGAATGTTTTGGGTATTTTTGAATTGAAAAATTGAAGATTAGATCTCGAATTGTTTGGAAAATTCCATATTAAAGGACTTAGGTACCGTTTTGGATCACAAAGGGGCAGATATTCAAAAATCTAATACTTTTGACTCTTTTAATTTGGAAAACTGAATGTTTTGGGTATTTTTGAATTGAAAAATTAAAAATTAGATCTCGAATTGTTTGGAAAATTCTATATTAATAGGATTTAGGTATAATTTTGGACCCAAAGCAGCTAATATTCAAAAATCTAATGCAACTTTTCTTTCTACTTGGCTTAAATCGATGGATATTTAAATATTAGCGTTTGTCTCGCTTTTGTAATGTATTTATTGAGCCGTTTGGTCACGTGACGATACTGTTTTCGGATCGAAGGAACCGAAATGACTTTCTTTTCCCTTCGAAAAAAGTCAACGACACTATTTGTTTGCGTAGAGATATAATCAAAACGAACGATCAAACGATTACGTTTGCTCACGCAACAAACCGTTTACAGGAATAGACGAATTTTCGTGACTTTGACCATGAAACCAGAGCGATGCAATCGTAAGGGCCGTATATTACTGTCATCGGCGGAGGGCGATAGGCACGACAGTCGTCGATTCCGCCCTGCGGGCCCTTCCGTTGAGATTTTCCGATTCTTGCAAGGAAGAGTGCCATAATTGCGTGCGCGGTTAATGTTCAATGACTCCTAGAGATATGCAAATGGCGTATACGGCTCGAGAAGAATGCCACCTTTTTTTTTGTTCGGGAATGCTTCCTTGTTGCCGTGAGATTCGCACGTTTTCCCATAAAGTGGCGCACTTCGCAAAAAGATTAATCGATTAGACGGCCATCGAGGCTTGACACGCGAACGCATTTAAATAACTGTACCCGCGCGCTTTAATGAGAAAATTGACATTCGTACGTACTGCATAAATAAAATTAGACACGTACGAACAGTGATAACCTTCAAATTGACAAATCCATCACCTTATTGTGTCTGGGTGAGCATAATGACTTCGCATCTCCCGACGGCGGCGTTTGGGAATTTGCCAAGAGTGTCTGGAACGTTCTTCGGTTTCTAATTATTCCATTTTGACTCTCTGTACGTAGATGACAAGTACTCAAACCATTTCTATACTGTCTATTGCAAAATTCGACAAAATCGCATAGGGCGTTGAGATCGGAAGAGAAAGGGTATAATTTGGTTCTTGAAAATGGGCATTTTTAGAATGCGCCATTTATATTCCAAACTGTGTTTGCCAAAGCTTTTTTTCCTACTAGGCTTCTCAGATCATGGTAAGGTTTTAATCGACGCTTCCATGCAAATGAAGTGAAACCCTACAACAAATTTGCAGCTGAGATCTTGGAAGGAATTTGAAGCTTCACAGACATTTGTACCTTTAAATTTCAATGTGAAACCTTTTATTTTAAAATGTGAACCTTGAATCGTTAAACAAATAATTTCAGGCTGAGACTCAGGCCGAGATCTTAAAGGAAAATTTCAAAATTGAAGCTTCACTGACATTTTTACCTTGAAATTTCAATGTGAAACTCTTTATTTTAAAATGTGAACCTTGAACCCTTAAAGAATTAATTTCCGACCGAAGTGTTGAAAGGAGAATTGCAAAATTGAAGCTTGACAGTTCTTTTGAGCTTCAAAATACAATGTGAAACCTTTTATTTTAAAATGTGGATCTTGAATCGTTAAAAAAATAATTTCAGGCTGAGACTCGGGCCGAGATTTTAAAGGAAAATATCAAAATTGAAGCTTCACTGATATTTTTACCTTAAAATTTCAATGTGAAACTATTTTAAAATGTGAACCTTGAACCCTTAAAGAATTGATTTCCAGCCGAAGTGTTGAAAGGAGAATTGTAAAATTGAAGCTTGACATGAGCTTCAAATTACAATGTGAAACCTTTTATTTTAAAATGTGAACCTTGAATCTTTAAAAAAATAATTTCAGGCTGAGACTCGGGCCGAGATTTTAAAGGAAAATTTCAAAATTGAAGCTTCACAGAAATTTTTACCTTAAAATTTCAATGTGAAACTCTTTATTTTAAAATGTGAACCTTGAACCCTTAAAGAATTGATTTCCACCCGAAGTGTTGAAAGGAGAATTGCAAAATTGAAGCTTGACAGTCCTTTTGAGCTTCAAATTACAATGTGAAACCTTTTATTTTAAAATGTGGATCTTGAATCGTTAAAAAAATAATTTCAGGCTGAGACTCGGGCCGTGATCTTAAAGGAAAATTTCAAAATTGAAGCTTCACTGACATTTTTACCTTTAAATTTTAATGTGAAACTGTTTATTTTAAAATGTGAACCTTGAACCCTTAAAAAATGATTTCAAGCTGAAATATTGAAAGAAGAGTTGTAAAATTGCAACTTGATAGTCGTTTTGAGCTTCAAAACCCTTTATTTTAAAATGTGAACCTTAAAAAAAATGATTTCAGGCAGAGTTTCAGGGCGAGATCTTGAAGGAAAGTTTCAAAATTGAAGCTTCACAGACATTTTTACCTCTAAATTTCAATGTGAAACCCTTTATTTTAAAATTTGAACCTTGAACCCTTAAAAAAATGATTTCAAGCTGAAAAGTTGAAAGGAGAATTGCAAAATTGAAACTTGACAGTCGTTTTGAGCTTCAAAACCCCTTTATTTTAAAATGTGAATCTTGAACCTTTCAAAAAAATGATTTCCAGCTGAAATCTTGAATGGAAATTTCAAAATTGAGGCTGAACAGACATTTTTATCTTACGATTTATTTTAAAATGTGAACCATGAAGATCTATAAACAAGTTTTGGTGGCAAGTGGAATATTCTTGTAATTTCTACGTAAACGAATTCTATTTGAAATTAGTGTCAAATTATTTGTACGTTTTGTGTCAAATTTGATTTTTTGTACATTGTATTCTGCTTCCTTTAATTTAATTAAATTTGTAATTAGTCGATTCATCGATATTTTTTTATAAGTTGGTCCTAATTACAAACCTAATTGCCAATCCGGCGTAAACGAATTTGTACCATTTGGAGCGTAATACTAACAAATGACTTTGGTCGTTTCGATTAGAAAAAACATAACCATAATTTCGAATTATGCCGCAAAAATGTGTAATTACTTTTTCTTCTGTAGATCAATTGAATTCCATCTTCTTTCGTGAGAACCGCGATTTGCTTTTAAAATTATGCACAGATCTCGGCCCGAGCGTGCGGTGCGAAAGGTTCCTAATTAAATGGTTACTTCGCCTTG